CCCATAATTTTTGAGCCACCACGAGCCGCCGCCGGATTTTTCACACAAATCAAGTTGAAAATATCCCTTCAATGAACAAGTCTTGCGTTTAGGCACCCACGAATAACCAAAGCTTGGGGTGCACGGTAGCGGATTCCGGGCTCAAGTTCAATTTTGGGATAATACGGGTATTCTCTTTCCTTGGTTTTTATTACATTGCATTGTTTCAATTCGATAATTGCATCCAATTATGCTTTGGAAATTGCCTAAGATCGTTAGTTGTTGCCCGGTTTATTTGGAAACATTGATTTGAGAAAGGTTGAGATTGGTTAATTTGCTTGGGAATTTGTTCAAAAATTGTTTAAACTTTGGTTGGGATTTTCTCATTTTGTCTCGTATTGCTGCCGAATTTTTGTTGGGATTATCAAATTAACCGAGTGGTGTTGTTGAAATCATTTTACATTGTCAAAAGTTGGGTGTCATTATTTCTTGGATTTTTTTTTGTGTTCAGTCTAAAGATAGTTGCATTAATTTGAGAGTGGTGAGGTGAGGGATTACGTTGGTGAAGTTGTTTTTGATATTGTAGGTTTCGAAAATGGGCAAAACCACGGCTCGGACACGCACCCATGGATCATCGATCGATCCTAACCCGCAAAAGGATGTCGCCGGTCCATCACGCAAAGCAGCCGGTAAACGAAAAAAAAAGAGGAGAAGAGGGAAGCGATCCTTCCCTTACAAATGCTGAGATCAAAACCTATCGCTCCAATCTTCGGGGTCGCGCAATCCGGCCGACAAAATTCTACCATAAAAAGTCCATGAAAAAGCTTGGGGTGCATGATGGTGTATACCATTTGTTCATAAAACTCGGTTGGCGTGGTTTTCTTCGACTTTGTGACAGAACTTACGAGGAACCCACAATGGAATTTCTTAGCACATATGCACGAGATGATGACACGAAGTCCTCACATTCCAGTTGAAAGGGGAGCATCATAGACTCACATACGAAGAGCTTGATTCTATCATGGGTATAGACGATCCATTCCGCATCAGCCCCCAAAATCAAGAGTACCAAGATTTTCTGCGTTGCCCTGATGCAAACTTTTGGATGCAAATTTCCGGTCTCCCAACCTTCAACCCAAGCCGACAGCGAGCCAAGCACATCGTTCACCCCTGTTGGCGAATTGCTCACCGAGTCCTTACGACGAGTATCTTCGGGCGTCTCGAGCCCGGTCAAATCAACAGATGTGAGCTATTTTTCCTCCGAAGCATGAGGCGTGCACTCTCCCTCAGTTTTTCAGGCTTCTTTTTAGACAAATGTGACTCCATACGCCAACGTTCCTCAGGGGAAATTTTCATCGGGGGACTTATCACGATCATAGGTCGAGCCGTCGGCCTAGACTTCCCGGATCCCGAGTACATACCTGTCGACACCCCACCGAACTTCCTGCTAGATTGTGACACTCTCATCCGGATGGAGATGTTGCTCGATCGGGGAACCCGCACGTACAGTTGGTTAGACTGACAAAGCCCCGGTTTACATCCTGCCAAGTTGGATCGGTTCTTCATTCGATACAGGCGACCCCGACACTTGGCTTCCTCCAGATCAATTGACCCAAGCAGGTGTATTCCCAGAATTCGGTGATGATGAGGGTGACGACGCAGAGGAACAAGAGGAAGAAGATGACGAAGAGGACGACGAGATGCCCGAAGCTGAGGACCATTTTGACCAGCCCTCGATGCAGCAGCCGATGTTTCAGCATGATCAGTTCCAGGCCCCTCCACAACATTTTGACCAGCCGCATCAGCAGGAGGGACACGAAGTCCCACCATATTTCCCCCCCACGTTCTTTGACCAATTTGCCACAATGTTCTCCACGGTGCAGCGTATCGACGCCCAAACGCAAGAGAATTCGAGAGCCATCCTAGATGTGGCAAGCCGTGTTGATCGATTGGAGCAGTCCTCCTCTCACACTTCCCGCCAGCTCCAGGATATGTGGGACTACCACCATCGCCACGGGCATTTCCCGCCGCCCGACCCCCCGATTTAGGTCCTTTCTGCCCTTTCCTTAAGCATTGAGGACAATGCTTGTTCTTAAGCTTGGGGTGGGGCATTTCCCTTTTTTTTTTCTTACTCTTTTTCATGCATTTTGTTAGGTTGCATAACATATTAGTTTAAGTTAATTTGCATTCATTTTTTTTATTTTATTAAATTTAAAAAGATTTTATTTTCTTCTTTTCTACTTTTTATTTTTGCATAACATTTAGCTTAAGACATTAGCATTCATGCATTTTTGTTGTCTGTTTATTCTCACCTCTCTTGGATGCCATGGAACAGGTTCATAGTTATTGTATCATTATTGGTCCAGGATCTTGTTGCTATCTCACCCATCGAACCGGGACCACTAGCTGCAGTTTGGGATTTCATACTTGGGATCAGATGCTGGTAGCTTAAAGGGGTAAGTGATCATGGACAGGTAGTTTTCATGAAGAATTATGCATACAATACTAACAACTGTAGGATATACTATAGCAATGGGTGTTCTTAGCCTTGCGGTCACTACCGCGGAGAGGATCACACTTGATCATGTTTGAACTGTTAGGATGAAGCATTGGTGCTTGTCCCCGAGTAGAATCCATATCCGGTCTCTTTACATCACCATATCTTTTTGCGATTTTCTTAGAATTTAGAGAGTCTTTTAGTCCACATTTGGACATTTTCATTATCTTTGAAAAACCACAAGTTTGAAAAGGAGCTTACATTACATCTTTATGCTCCACACATGGTCATTTTCACACTTAGGCCATTCGGATTATATCATTACCCTTTCGGTTCCACCTACACACCTTTGGGAACCAAATTTTGAGTCAAAGGGTTTTCTATAAAAAAAAAAAAAAAAAAAAAAAAAAAAAAAAAAAAAAAAAAAAAAAAAAAAAACAAAACAAAATGAAGCATGCAAATTTTCAGTTGCAACTATCTTAGATAGGTGGCCGGTTCAATTATTGAACAAATTTCCCAACATCTTGGTCACCCGACGTTTGATATTCATTTGTATAGATTGTTTTATTGTATATAGATCGAGTTGTTTTTTTTTTTCTTTCTCTCAAATTGGTGATGTTAGAGAGACTGTCGAGTCGGATACTACGGGAGGTTTGGGCCAACACTAAGTGAACTGATTCCTACAACGGTGCCCGAGCGATTAAACCTAGTTACACATGAGAGAAACCGGCAATGTGAGATCAGAGTGTACACTTAAAGAAGAGCTCCACCCGAGCCCATCCAGTTGCTTTCTCCCTACTACAGATGTTCTTCATTGTATACATGTTCCATTGAGGCTGCGACTGCTCATCCCTCCTTACTCACCTAAAGGAGTTGTCCTGGCTGTGGTTTATGGTTCCATTGTCATCGGATGAAAAAGTTGTGAGATAGCAGCGAAATCAATTCTGACCATGTTGACTAACGTCGAACAGGTTCCATGGTTCTATCCATTCTTTTTATTTCTAGGGTAGTTCATCCCAAGTTCATTTAGTCTTGTCTTACTTGAGGACAAGTAAGGTTTAAGCTTGGGGTGATTTGATAGCTTCATTTTATTTACTTCTTTTTATAGTTTATTTTAGCATATTTCATTCATAATTTAGATAATTTCCATGCATATTTTCCTTTTTGTTATTTTATGACTATTTCGGGTACTCTCGAATCTTGTGAGCATAATTGCAGGTTTTCGGGTCTAGCGGAGCGGGAGTGTTCGGGACGTATAGGAGGCGATGAGATTTGGTAGACAAAAATGACGTTGGGCTTGATGGGTAGTGGAGATGATGCATGGAGTGATCTTGATGATTATTGAAGACTTGGAGAGAAATAAACTTTAAATTTGAAGATGCGGGGGAACATTCAAGCGTATGAAAATTATTAATCGGGCGAGTTCACGAGCTTTGGAGGATTTGGAGAGGTCAAATTGGGCTTTAAATGAAGAAAAACTTGAAGAAAATGGGCTAGGAGGTGATTGGATTCGATCTGGGCTAGTGGGATATGCTTTAGAGGCCCAAAATCTCAAAGAAGCCCATGTCAGGCACCACCCGCGCAACCCACCCGCGCAGCAGCACGCGGGTCGCGCAAGGCCCTGCAGGGGCAATTTCGGAAATTCTTCTTTTGAGCTATTTGAGGAAGGTTGGTGCCCATCTTTTGCATACTCTTGACATCCGATTTTTGAAGATTCTCTCTGGAGTTTTGAGACTTTTGAAGGCCAAGAACCCTTGAAGAACATCATATTTTTACCTCTTGATTCTTGCTTAATGTTTGGTACAAATTTCTCTAACTTTGTTTCTTTGTGTTTAGCCATGCTTGGCTAAACTAATCTTGGTTGACTTTTGGTTAATCCTTTGAACTTTTGTTGAATGTTGAAGAATCCATGAACATGTTCTTGAATCTTTATGGAAATGTTTTGTGTTTTAACATCTTA